ATTTTATGTGTGTGTACTCAAAATACGAAGTTTATTTTACAATGGTGAAATATATATTCAGAATTATTAAAGAATGAAAAATTTTATACAAATGTATTAAAAGATATTTAAAATAGGTGCAATGCATATATCCACTTCATAAATGGGTGCACATGTGGATGCACATGTGGCATGCCACATGTCAACATTGCAACAACTAAACTCTCTTTTACATATATATATAGGATAAAGTACCTGGGTTGCCGGTGATGTGGTGGGAGGCGCCGGTGTCCATGAGCCAAGTGGGATGCGGGTTTAGGGTGAGGGTTTCAAGCCCATGGGCAAGGGCGGTGGGTGAGGTGGGTGTCGGGTATGGGGCTGGATACAGGTGGGTGGGGGCTGTGGGGTGCGGGTAGAGGGGCTGTGGGGTTTGCGAGTAGGCGGGCGGGTATGGGGTTGGGCTGGGTGGTGCGGGTGGGTAGTAGGAGTAGGTGGGTGGGTTCGGGTATTGGGTATAGTGGGCCTAGGCTGGGTGTGGGTTTGGGCTGTGAGGGTTGGGGCTGTAGGTGGGCCGTGGGCCTAGGATGCCGGGTGAGGGGGTTGGGAATTGCCAAGGGTTTGGGCCGATGGGTTGTCGCTGATTCGGGCCACGTCCACGACCACGTCCACGTCCAAGTCCGTTGTTGCCCCGGTTTTGACCGCCGTAGGAACCCCGTCCAGCGCCGCTGCCCGACTGCCGTGACTGTCCACCACTGCCGGTGCTGCTGCCGCCGCCGCCGGTGCTGAAGAGGGCTGTCAACGGCCCGGTGTCGGAGAGGGCATCGGCCTGTTGTTGTTCCACGAGTAGGAGCGCCGACCGAACCTCCATGAACGTCGGGAAGGGGTTCTGATATTGTAAGAAGTGCACTTGGCCCTGGATGTCGTGAGGCAAGCCCTGAAGAACCTGTAAAACAAGCGCATGTTCGGTCACCGGGGCATCCACGTCGTCGAGGTAGTCTGCCAGATTTTTGAGGAGATGGCAATAGTCATTGATGGACCGATTGCCTTTGACGGTTGTTTGGAACCGGTGCTCCAAGTGCATCGCTCGAGCATATCCATGTTTATTATCATGAAAAAGTTTGTAGATCGCCGTCCACAAAGCAGAAGCAGAGGGGCTGCTGGCAAGAACCAGATCTGAGACTTCATTAGAGACTGTGGATAGAATCCATCCTTGAAGAAGGGCATCAAATTGAAACCATTCGGTGTCGTCTTTGGAAGAGGCGACGGTGGTACCGTCGAGATATCCCATGAGATTGAAGCGGAGGACAAGGAGACGAAAGAGTCGACTCCACTTTTTGTAGTTGGGTTTAGAGATGCTAAGCTGAACAGGAATATGAAGCTTGATATTGGAGATTGTTGTGAAGGCAAGGTGGGGAGATTTAGAGGAGGTGTAGTTGTCAGAAGTGACGGAAGAGACTTCGGCCATAGTTGCCGGCGGCGAAGAAGACTACCGTGGGGGGGGGGNATATGCCCTTCCTTCGTACAACCAAGGGAACAAACCTCCCTTAAAGTGTTCACAACACTTAACCACTCAAGAACAAAAACTCTCTTAAAGAGTAGAATATGAGTAAACTAATTTAGATCAAGAACACACTCAATTCCTCAAGAAATGGCTCTAAAAAAGCTATGTAAAAAGTTTATGAAATGATGCAATGTAAAGCTATGAAATGTGTGTGGAATGGATGTGAAAAGTAGACCCAAGAGACCCCTTTTTATACCCAAAAACAAGGTGCAACGGTTGGGAAAAGATTGGGGTTGATTAGCTTGATTTGTGGAAATCAAATAAAAGTGGATCTGCTGAAATCTAGCCCGACAGCGCTGTTCATATGGTGAACATCGCTATTCTGGCTTTGAATTTCCTTTAAAAATGGCTAACGGTCATCAAAACATCGATGTCTAGAAGTCTACATCGCTGTTGGGGTGTTTGACTTTCAAAAATGGAAAGATTTTGTCTTAAATAGCCCAACGGTCATTTGAAAACATCGCTGTTCAAAAACTTACTGGCCAGGGCTTCTGAAGGCCAACATCGCTGTTGGGATTTCCGACATGCATGTCGGGATGGTTTGCCAGAACCATGGTTTGGTAGCCAACGCCGAAAACCGATGTCAAAAACCAAAGTTCTCCAAAATGAAAACCAAGTGTTGGAAACTCTTATATAATGCATTTTAGGTAGAAACCAAGTATAAAAACGTAAAAACCACTTCATTAAGATAAAAACCACGGCTAGCCAAGTTTATGCCGTTTCACATGGTTTTCACCAAAAGACCAAAAACGAAAGGTGGTTTTTGACATGTTTTTGTTGGAGAACCATTTGGATATGTCCAGAAGTAAAAAACAATCATAAAATATTAAAAAACACTTGATTGATTTGGACGCCAAAAACCAACGCCGATAACCAACACCGAATGCTGATAACCAACGCCGAAAAACAAAGGTTATGGTTTTTGAAAACTAATGATTTGGAAAACCTTTTAATGTGTCCAGAAGCTTTAAACCAAGGATAAAAACCCAAAAACCATTTGGTTAAAATCAATGCCAATAACTAATGCCGAAAACCGAACGCCATAGCCGAACGCCGATAACCGATGGTTATGGTTTTGGTTAAGCAAGAACCATGGGTTTTAGAAACTTACAAACCATTTATGAAAACACTCATTTGATGCATGAAAAACATATTTTGTTTTGAGCCATAACATAAAGAAATTGAATGAGCTTGTTACAATAAAAACCTAAGTATTTAGAATACGTCTTCAAAGCTCCAATGTCGTCATCTTTAGAAGCGTCAATGCCTTTCTTGTGCTTTTTGTTTCTTCAAAGAACTTTTTCAATCTCTTTGAATCTTTTCATTTTGTTCCATGTTCCCGACGGTTTGTCAATATCAAAA